CCATTCTAGGTGACTATAGAAAAAAAAAACAATATTTCAAGAACAACAGACACCCGGATTTAAATCGGAAAAATAATTCAACCTGAATTCAATACATTTTCAATTCTTTTGATTTTAAGAAAGTTCTGGTTGATAATTTCCCATTATATGAAAATGTGATGCATACCTACGCTTGTAATCTTTTTTTTAAAGTATTTTATTGCTGCCAGCAAATGATGCACACCCATTATTTTCCTCCCAATTTTGAGAAAAATATGCATGTGGTATTCAGGTATTGTATATACTATAATAGTTTGTACCAGAAGAACCTTATCTTTTCGCAATTCAGCCACTTAAATTGATCAGGTTGTAACAGAAGGCCCTTTTTTGAGTGTACCCTTTTGTATAAATGTCTTCTTATGTATGTGATCATCTGTTGAAGGGTGGTAGTTAAGAGTGAGGGCTTTTTCGAAAGAGTCCTGATGGAATCATGCCTTGAGCATACACCGGGGAAAGGAATGATTCAACCTACTCTCTCTGACATTTCCAAAGAAGAAAAAAGAACCGAATCCCTGGTTAAACATGGACAAACACAACGGTCTGTCATATTTAGCCGATCGATTAGTAACTGGTGTGCGGAACCCCTTTATAAGCATCCCCCACATTAACATCGTTTAGGAAAAAATATTTAAAAAAAACCCACAACGCACAAAAACCCCCTATATAGGGGTTTCTTTTCGATCCAACAGCGATTTCTGCTGAAATTGAGATGAAGGTGTTGATAGGAATTATTTTGTTTTTTTCAAGGGTGTTCGATCTGTTTCGCGAAGCAGTGAGGAATTGCAAGCCAAAAAGTGAGCTGCTGGGCTCTGTGTATGCTGCGCGTTCCAAAGTGCATTTTACGTCTGAAAATCGGCAAAGATGTCTTGAGGACGTGGACAGAGCCCTCAAATGCAAGGTGGAGTATGATATTTCTCAATTTAATTTATTTGAACTGTTTATTAAATTTGTAAATGAAATTAGATTGAGCATTAATGTGGTAGCAATAATTTTGATACACAGTACTATACATTTTAGAAATCAGTTAATCATCGTCTAAATCGTTTTCTCGCTATAGATTCCAAAGTCGATGAAAGCATGGCTCATCAAGCAAAAGTTCAAAGTTTTGCACAACATTGCGCCGTCGGGGATTGTGGGGAGCTTGCGAGAAATGCTGGTGAACGAAGACACAGATCGGGACATCAAGGACCTCAAGGTCAGTTGTTACCTTTTTCTTCACACCCTTATTTATCTTTTTTTTTTTTAGACATATTGTACTATACACTTGAGCTCATGATGTTCCAAAACCTGAATACTCAGCAGTACTTGCTCTTTTGGAACAACAGAACAAATGCTCTTCAGAAACAACAAATTTTCTGTGAATGCGTGTCCCTCAAATTGAAAGCAAATTTGTATCTATTTATTTCGGTGTCACCTACAGATTTTAAGCTGCAAAAAGCACATTCTTGATGCAAGAGACATATCTGAGTGTTGAGGCAATTTCCCAGCCTCCAAGGGATCTCAATTTTGAGGGGCAAATCAACATTCATGGTTGCAAAAAAAAGGAAGCTGGAGCATCCTTACTCATTGGATGTTAAAAGATCACTCATTATCATATCTGATGACAGGTTTCATGAAATAATTATCACACACAATCAAAAATAACATTTACATTACCAAAAGAAAAGTTTTCTAACGAAATAGAATCAGGAAAGAAATAATGCTTTTTTTGTGTATGGTGCAACTTGCAATGCATGAAAGTCCAATTTGCATAATTTGCCAATTTTGACCTAAAAACTCCAAAAGCTTCAGAATTGAAGTTGAAGATGTTGAACTTTTCTCTCATCATATAAAAGTTGCTCTGACTAATGGATCTAGAGATACTTAGAAATAAATTGTGGTATGCAAATAAAATTGTTGTAGAGCGACTCCATCTGTATTTTGATTATTATAGTGAAGTAAAACTTACCAATGTTTCTCGAAGATGAGAGGATATTTTTCCGACAAGAAGTTTTACCTGCCAGAAAAGGAAAGAACTAAGACGGTATGACAAGATAGTCCAAACAGTTGAGGTCCTTATTCCTCATCCAAAACACCTCATCCCCCAAAACACTTTTTGAATCGGTGGGAGGATTACACAATGAAGGAACTTGGTGTAAAAAAAAAGGTTCAAATTTCTGCTCAGGTCTGCTCAGTGCTTGAAATATTTCATCCAAACATTTTTTTTTTCTTGGAAGGAGTAGACAATAGACTAATAGAGCGATCTGAAAGAAGCAAGAAAAACTTATTTCATTTGCACTGCAGCCATAACTCTGTATATATTTAACGTGTTTTGCCATTTTTATTTCAATCCCCACTTTATCGGCCTCAATTATGCTTGTTTTGGATAATGAAGTATTTTAACCAAGTAAAAGGCATGTTTTCTCTTTGACAATTACACAGTACAGGGAATTGGCTTAGATTTCATAGCTCTTGCAGCTGTGAAACATCGAATTTTCATCAGTATGACGCGATGCTTCAACGTCCTTTTTAATCTGCCTCGATTATTATGCCACACTTTATTCTCTGATGTTTGCTGAAAGCCAGCCATGTGTTTCTCTGTTGCAGAAAGAAGTGAAGCCAGTGGGGAAGTTTGGATATGATCGTTCCGGACGTCCATTGAACGAGCCCTTGGCTGAAGCCGAAACGCATCCGGATGACATCATCTTCCGACCGGATGGAAAAGAAAACATGCTCATTTCCGGTGCTTCGGATGCTATTGTCCTCAAATACAAACCCAATCGCGGTCGTTACTACGTTGCCGCCCGGCAAATCCAACCCGGTGAGACTCAAA